TAAACTATATATATATATATATATATATATATATATACACCCTAGTTATGATCAACTAGCATGCTTATCAGCTGAAAAAGACATGCCAGAACTTACTACGTCTAAATGTGCCTCCGAAATCGTAAGCGTATGTTGCAACCAAAGGAAACAATCCTTCGATTACTTTTCCCACTACGGTTATCATCATCAAAGACAGTGTGTCGTACCTAATTATACGTTAAAATCACCGCCATCGACATCACACTAGTGTGCAACACTGATGCTTCGCTGCCATAACTTAAAGCTTAAAGAGACAGAAATAGAAGAATGGATGGGGGCCGGGACCTGGCGCTGATCTACTTCTAACATTCCAACGTGCCTATACATACAAGCGCTCAGTCAGACGATCTGGAAAGAAACTGACAGCGACCAGCCGTCATTTCTTGTCATGTCCACAGACAAGTGCAGGAAGGAGACCACGTCCTAGAAGGCGGACAGCACCAAAACCCAAACTCTTCGTAATCTCTTTCACACCCTTCAGCCTAATCCCAAGTTGTCCACCTCGTAATACGTGCCTCGTTACGAATTCGTTGACGCAATCCAACACCATCAATGCTTCTGACACATCGACGTTCAAAAACGCCTCACACCTGTCGGTAGAGGCCATGCCTCGCAAGCATGAGATATAATTAAAGTATTTAGTTCGGTTGTGTTCCTCAAGTAACTTGTGGGTCATTTAATCATGTGTCCTGGAAAAAGTGTATGCTAAAATCAAGTTTATGAAAACCCAACAATAATTTTACGCAGGATACCAGCATATTGTGCAAAACGAGCAACGGTCTACAAAACTTACCTTTTATTTAACCGAAATAAAACTTTCTCTTTAGTTGCAGTGTCACCGAATTCAACTTCATTCAGTTTGTAATTCGCGTCCCAAACGCATAATTCACCATCGGTACTGATAGTGATGACATCCAGCGAATTTTGCATAAAGAATCCACCAACTACTGGGTTCCGATGCCCAGAAAGTGTATATATAACAAGCTTTTTTAGTCTATGAACAGAAAATACTCTGCAGCTGTTGTCCGAACAACCCGCAAGAAAAACACTGGACGAAAATGCGATAAGTGTGAGTAATGACTACCTTACCAAGAGTCCGTGGACCAATCGATGGATGTTACATCATCCAGGAAACCATAGTACACTCGATACAGTTCCAGATGATTGAATTGCCTCTGACAACCCGGTGCGAAAAACAGCATGACACAGTGGCCTTTTGCGATTGCAAGGAATCTGGACTGAAGTTACCAAACGAACGTAAAAACTGACTTTCCATCTGGACTGAAAGAGAGTGCAGTCACCGGATGTTTCAATGGGTAGACCGATACTACCGATCCGGATATAAGAGATATGATGGACGCTTCACCAGCTGTTGTCAAGGGGAGGAAGTTAGCACAAAACTTGACTGACCATCGTTCACAGCCACAAGCATGGAAACTGATGGAGAAAGAGCCATATGGCGTATGTTGAAGAAAGACTTCACCTCCAGGGTTGTAGATTCGTCTCTGAACAAATTATGTGGGTAGGTAGCTTCGCTTACGTTTGCAAATCATATACATTGATTTGATTACCCACTGGACTCAGAAGTCCACGGCCATTCGAAGTGAACAATATATTTCCGCATTTGTATGCAGTTCCGAATAAATTGGAGAACTACCAAGATGAAACTGGTAGATAAAATGTAATACTTTGAAGTTCAACCTCATTGCGGCTATGGTCTGTGGTAAGGAGATCCAATTGAATGCGTGAGCAAAAAGCCAAACAAGTGGAAGAATTTTAGGTAATGCCTGACCTGAAACGAAAGAGAAACTCGCAAATAAGCAGGACAAGACAACGTTAATTTATCCTATCACAGGAGACATTCCATCCTCCGCGCGGAAATGCACTTCTCACACGAGTGAATGGCGGAACACTGAGTCGCCAAACAGACCCGTGTATCTGATTTCGAAAAATATCCACTTAGTTCGGACCGTTGTGAACGCATGGGTTAAATGACTTTACGGATGACGAGGTGTCAGCTGCATACAGGAACAAAATTAGGCCATAAAAGGCACACAGTCAACTTCAAACAGAAAACCCATGGTCAACAGAACGGAAACCACAGGTAACATCGATGTGAATTGCCCGAAGATAAAATAGTTTTACCAGAATAGTAAAGACACAACGTTTATCATCATCAGCAGCAGCAGCATCAACAGCATAACGTCAGCGTTCAACAGTGGCACTTTGCTACTGTACAACCATAAGGAAGTGATTAACATCACTGAACATCGACAGCGAACTGTTTCGGGTACTTACAGAGGAGGGTAGTCATGTCCTTGTAAGATACCGACCCGGCAGCTGAAACTCATCCAAAAACTCAAAGTAACGAAACACAGACATCACAACACTTTCAGAAGCAAGAAACCGATAGTATCTGCACCTCAATATTCGAGCCACATGCAAAGATAGGTGTCCTACCCGTGCAAAAGAAACGGTTTTATCATGTGACCACGAGGGTGAGCGTTCTGTTATGTAATAAAGATTGGTGTGGAGCTTGGATGCCCAGCCGGCTGCCAAACAGTTAGCATGGACAGATATAACTACAAACAACAACAAAACACTGCAATGGATTCTGGCATATCACGGAAACAAAGGCAACACATTTTATCCCAACGTACCCTATTATGATGCAGGAATGCAAAATCAGTCAACGCCTTAGCTGTTTACCAATAAGCTTGGGAAGACAGCAAGAAGTGAAACACTCACATCCAGAACACAACCAAATAATAAAACCCGTGATAGATCGCCAGTTGTACGTACGATATCTGCTTGATGGAAGCCTGAGCACTGAGAGAGAGTCAACGTTGAACGGTACTGAAACAAACGCCTGAAGAGAGAAAGGTCATATTTCAATTGATCACCACATCCACAAACGCCTCACCCCGAGCGACGGAAGGTTAGGAAGAACCACACCCCAAATTCATTATCATCATCATCATCATCATCATCGCCACCATTACCATCGTCACCAGCATCATCATCACCCAGTGTGAATTTGAAACACGAACAGAGTGAGTGAATAAAATATCACGAAAAATTGAGATACTGTTTTGTTTACAAGGCATAATGGTAGTTTAGATCAGGTGCCACGCAATGTCAAAGACTCGCCGCACCAAGCACGAAAACAATATGACGATTCGTCGGCGATAGCAACAGTGAGAACAAGAAGGCCAGATTGTCGTACAACCATGCTCGTTTATTTGAATGAATTTCTTTACTGGAAAGGAAGTGACAATCGGAACGGAGACCGATCATAAACATCTGAAGTGTTCACTAATCCAACCGCTGATTCAAGTCATCTGGATAGAAACTGAGGACATTAAACCTACTGACATCAGTTAGTGGCCGCAATTACAATGATATCATCCAATTGTGGGGACATGGAGATCCCGTCCAAGAAGACGCCATATAACGGATGAGGATTCTTCGCAATCCTGCTTTCCCCTCCATCATAAAAGCCTACGGACTTGAAGAAAAACCTGAATGAATCTCAGATGAATATATAGCTTGGCACATTCCCCAACTGGATGTGTTGCAGAATACCGTCAGAAGTAATGTCAAGCATACAATCCCAATCTTTAACCTACGGAATTCGAAATATGGCACGAAAAACAAGTCTTCTCGGAAGATGATAACTCGGTGCGTGCAGCGAGTGACCAGGTAAACACAAATCTGTGCTGGATTTGCTTCAAAAAAACGTATTCTAGTGCCATCCTGTTCTAGCTATGGTCCCGAGACATCAATAGCCTAAAACCTATATAGTTTTAGAAATTCCTACCACTATCATAAACCCCATCAGAATTAGCAGCACCAGCTATTACTGTACTAGTACTACGCTAATGGTTACAACTGCAAGTTTTCTTCACTGAGAAATGATCAGGTGGGATGGGTGACAGCTCAAAACAGTGAAGTGGTGATGCAGTTCTAACAGCGTCGTATCATGCCTCATTGCTGGAGAGTATGTACAAATGTGAGGCTGTGAACCTGATACCTGATACTAAAAGAGCTATACCGGACCAATGGTCTTCTAGAATTCGGAGCACGTGACCAGGCAAGCGAAGTCTACGAAGTGTCATCAACTCACGGCGCTAAAACAGAACGGAGGTTTTAGAGATACTGGCGATCAGACATCAGAATCTTCTCGAAGTCTTCTGTTCACAGAGGCCAGGTTTCCGAAACACACAAAAGCAAAGCCCTTTTCGGATATATCGATCACACAGACTCCGTGGATTGACAAAAGTCGCCCTAGAACGTCAACTTTGTCATTGGCCAGACCGCAGGGACTAATGCAAAAGCCCAGGTACAGCGGGCTAAAAGCTTAAATACCGTTGTGGTTGCTGATGCCATGAAAGCCCGCGTAGGTAGACTAAGCGCTGCTGAGCCACAATGGGTGGTCGTCTTGAAACACGAAACGCACGGACAAAGGGGATCGCTTGTTTCAGATGTGTGCCGACCACAGACTGTTCCTTTGTAGTACGAATGTCCGGAACAGCGGAAAGCGCTTGACAACGTGGTGCCCATCAACAAACCAGTCACGAATCCAAATAGACCACATCGCCGTGAGGGTCGATCACCAACTGCTGCTCCTTCTGGAAGACCAGCGTGGAATCCGATCATGCACTTTTACGCTGCTGCTTCCCATTGCGCTTACCAGGTCAACACAAAAGGCGCACGCCTCACTTAGCTGCTAAGAAGCTAGTAAACCCAGAAGTCAAACGAAACTATCGGAAGTAATAATAATCGTCCAGCTGTAGAACCCTTCCGGTGCCTAGCTGCCATGCCACCCGAGGGAAGCAGGAGGGCTGGGATACTGCCAGATTGCCCAAACTTAGACAGGGGAAGTCGAGAGGAAGAGGTTGGGTCAGAACCACGGACCTCCCGATCGGTAAATTCGCGCACTAACCAATTGGGCCATCTCACCTTCGAGTGTATGATTAGCTCTCCAAAAGCTTCCCTACAAAAAGTGGTGTCTGACAAGGATATCCGCTCCATTATTGTTCAACTTCATCACTGATGAAATAATTAGGAGAACGCTAGAAAGTCCTTAAAACTCCGGCGTTCAAATTGTTGCTAGTGAGTACACTGACGATTTGAAGTACGCGGATGATATCGCCTTCATCACTGAGGACCAAAGCGAAGCACAGGCCCTGTTGAATATACTGACCACCGTCACACCATATTTTGGCATGAACCTGGCACCTTCAAAGTGCAAAGTCATGCTTCAGTCTCTGAACATACCACTTACAATTCAAGGAGAATCACTACATATTGTGGAAAACCTTACACACCTCGGTAGTTGGGTTACATCTGACGGGAATATTCCTGAAGAAGTCAGTGCAAGAATCTCAAGGGCTCGAATCACGTTTGCTAATTTGCGTCACTAGTAGCATATCGTTCAGCTGTAGCACCCTTTCGGTGTCTAACTGCCATGCCACCCAAAGGAAGCACGAGGGCTGAGATACTGCCAGGTTGCCCAGGCCTAGACAGGGGAAGTCGAGAGGCAGAGGTCGGGTTCGAACCACAGACCTTCCGGTCAGTAAATTCGTACTCCAACCACTTGGTCCATCTCGCCCGTGGCATATCACTAAATCTTAGGGGTTGTAGCATCACCGTGAATCTAGCACCACCGATTAAGACGCCTCGGCCATGCGCTACACATGCCGAAACACCGTCTACCGAGACGAGTGGAGTTCTCTGTGCCTCCTTCAGAATGGCGCAAACCGCAAGGTGGACAACGTATGACTTGCAGAAGGGCGTGAAAGAGATCACGAAGAGTTTGAGTATTGTGGATGTGTCAACACTGACTTTGTTGTCTTTGATGATGAAAAACCCAGGTAAGTTGCAAAGCTAAACCTATGGTTCACCTATTATAGGTACAATAATTCAAGCAACAATTCAGTTGACCACCTGCTACCTCCAACCTGGAATGCCGCTCTTCAACAGGAGGGTGAATTGTGAACATGGAACCCCTTCAGTCTCAGAGGTGTCCGGGTGTATATCTTTACTCAAGTGTCATCGTACTCCTGACGCTGACGACCTGCTCTTCCGTCAGTACCTGTCTAGTTCATTCGGATCTACCTGGCAGAAACAGATCGTTCCAAATAACTCGGGTGAGTCGATGATAGTCGACGATGATCAGTGCCTGTTCATCACATCTGATCGCGCCCCAACAGACGGTAGCTCTGGAACACTCAAAGACAGCCTTTAGCACCTTGTTGCAGGGAGCTAAGAGCTCAGATATCGTTGTGGTTGCTGGATAAATGGATGCAATCGCGAGCCACGAACAACGGACGAACGCCTGATTCATTTATGTGCTCATCGCAGACTGTTTCTATGGTACTAACTCCTGAAACGATCAAGGGCAGTTGGCCACACGGTGTCTCCCGCATATGAGCCAATCTCCAACACAGACAAACCACATTACCGTTAGCTATAGGTGCTATGGGTCAATTATCCATTGTCGCTAGTGTACTTGGATCACGCGTTTGTTCGTTGCTGATCCTTACTGCGCTTTTCAGAGACGCGCAAGATATACACACCTCAGCTAGGCATTGAGAAGCTCTCGGACTCTAATGTGAAGCAATCCTACCAGAACTACCCAGTGAAGTTCCTTTCGGACGACGTCTTTCGATGATAACTTTTCTGGAAGGTACTAGCCACAACCATGCAGGATCGTGGGTGCCCCACTTGTGAAACGGCGCAAACAGAAAGATCTAAGCACTGCATCACGATCAGCACTCTCAAATCGCTTGAAACTCGGAAACATGGTCGAGTGTATAAAACCACTCTACGAACTGTCAGACTTCGGGTGAAAAAGAGCATTTGCGCGGATCAAGAACCTTCGTGAGTGTAGGAAGCTGAGGAGATGGAGCAGTCGAGAAACTGCACCGATTCGACTGGCCGCCTGCAGTTGCTTGGCCAGATTATCCATCCACAAAAGAGCTCTCGACTGTACTTGGAACACCCGACGTCCTTGAAGATAAGCGAATGGGTTTTGTCCCTCAAAAGTCACCGAGATCTAGTCGTGACGATCCCACACCTGCTCTGTTGAAAGACACGAGTGAAATCTTCGGTGCTTGTCTAGCTTGTTTCCTTCTATCTGGGCGAAAGAGGCTATCCCAACTGAATGCGGTGGTGTCCAGTTGCAAAAAGGGCGCTCGCAGTGAGTGTAATAATTGCAGGGGGAATTAGCTTGACCCCCAATTCAACCAGTCTCTCTGCGTCACTTATTTCATACCGTCCTAACAACGCTCATGAAAACATGTCTCGGCAACAGCAAAAAGATAAAAGATAAAGCGTTCAGCTGTAGCACCCTTCCGGTGCCTAGCTGCCATGCCACCCGAAGGGAGCACGAGGGCTGGGATACTGCCAGGTTGCCCAAGCCTAGACAGGGGAAGTCGAGTGGCGGAGGTCGGATTCGAACCGCGGACCTTCAGGTTAGTAATCCGCGCTCTAACCACTTCGGCCATCTCGGCAACAGCAAACAGGAATCTGGTCGAGGAGCTGTGTGAACCACATCTTCAAACTCTCAAGTGTTATAGGAACGACACGCGTGTAGATGCTCTACAACCTTGTTCACTGGCTTCAACAATGCGTTGGATTCTGTCTATTGGTTAGTTCTTCCAAGACATTTGCGCGGCAAGGTATGTCCAAGAAGTTTGTCAATAGCATGCGTTATTTGCATTCACATACTCGTGGGCGCGTGAGAGTGACTGGGGAGCGCTCCAAAAGCTTTCACATAAGCAGTGGCGTCCAACAAAGATGTCCATTTCGTTTGCCACTGTTACTGATGAGGTATTGAGGTACTGAAGGTCTCCAAAACCCTGGTGAGAGCACTGTCGACCTAGAATATACGCACGACATTGTTTTCATTTCCGAACACAAGCAGGTAGCGCAAGCAGTCCTTCGGTGGGTGCTTTGCGCCCACAAAGTCCCAAGTCATGCTCAGGGCGTGCAGATTTCGAACATGCGTCTAAGAATTCAAGGAAGTGGAATTTGGGGAACGCTATAGGCATGGCGGAAGTTGCCTTAACTCTGATGGCAGTGTGACATCCGGAGTGAGCTCAAGAATCTCGAACAGCAGAATTGCAACTCGTGACATCAGAAAGGTATATCACTTGGTCTCAAAGGATGCAATTATCAGACTAGAGTATGGGCTGTATAGTCGCACGCTGCGAGGCTTGGCGTATGCGGGCAAAGGATCTGAGACATCTTCAGGTCTTTGACCATTAGTGTATCAAAGGTACTGCTAAAAGAAGCTGCAATCAAAGAATTCGGAATGAAATTACCAAAGGATAGGTTTTCGGTGAAGTGCATCCAGTACTGCAAGCTACTGTGGCTGAGTTGTGTTGCGCATGCCAGTTGACCGCCAATCGGGACTAGTGCTGTTTTCCGTATCTAATTTGGAGCAGAACAAACCCGTGGGTCTAGACAATTTGATGTGGCATAAGGGAATGAAGGATAGTATGAGAAGTTTAGATGCTGTTGGAATCCAAGGGTGGGGCCGACATGACTCATCATTCTTGGCTGAAGACACTGAACGATATGGCGGCTACCTGATGCCAGCGGCGTCCATGTTGTTAGTTTCCATCCATATTATCTGACTGAGTGCTGTAGGTGCAGTCACCTTGGATGTTTGCTGTAGGTCAGCCGTATGTAATGGTGTGTGACTGGCTGGTCTTTAGGCAGTTCTCTGTTAAAGCCTTAATGTACTTGGGGCTTCTGAGCTTCGAATGCGGTTGCCCAAACCCCTCCACGTGTCTACGCTTGTTAAGCTGGATGGCTAGGTGATCGTCAGCTGACTTAATGTTGCATTTGTCGTTGAAAGTTTATTTAGACATAACAACTTTTTCTGAGCTTGCTCTGGCGGTCTCGCCCGGATTTTGTGCCAGTCCCCGATTATGGTAAACGTAGTATGCACGCTATGGAAGAATCAGGTGACAGCAATTCTTCGAAATTGGATGTTCATGATAATTGCCGCAGACAGAAAGCAGAAAGCTCGTGAGCCAAAACCCAGTAGGCCACTTTCTACATCACCAACACCTGCATTCACATCAGCTAAAGTGGAAGCCGCTGTATACTACCAGGATTGGCGACTTGTGGGGGGGAAACCGGGCTGCTAGTATTTCAAGGCCATGACGGGATCGCATAAAAGCCGGTGAGAAAATACAATTTTTCATTCATCGATCAATTTTCGCGCGATTACGGTCTCCGTGAAGAGATGTTGAACGTGTCTGGTGATGCACCAGCCACAGCAAGGTTAGCGCCTATCATGCCGAAGCCACCGCACTCCAGAATGTCGTCAAGTAAACTCACTGTACTTCATGTCTTGCAGGTACACAGGATGAACGTAATGTAACAAGGCAAATGCTATAGTACCTCCAGTCATGGAATTTGAGTCTAACTTGCGAGAATTCCAACGGGAAGCGGGCATATTTTAAGCCCGTCGACATAGTTCATCGGCGTCCAAATATGAAGTCCGGCGAAGTGCATGTGCAATCTGTCGGTCATGCGTTCATGGCCTATATGTGTGTACGCGCCTGGTCATACAGGAACGCTTGAAAGCGAAGTCGTCGGTATGCTGACAAGTGCCTGAATAATCACCCAAGGCCATTGTGTTCATTTACCACTACTCCGCACATCACAGAGTAAGCGCCTTGCGGTCTGGACCAGGCTGCTAGTGTATCAAGGCCATAGATGTCCTTGGCTCGGGTGGTATAAAAGCCAGTGCGGAGCTACAAATGGTCATTCCTAGCTTGTTCCGCTGCGGTCCGGGTGCCTACGACATTGCAAACGCGAACATTATGGTGTCAACGACGGTACGGCCGGTTGTATAATGTTTGAATGTCCTGTCGTTTACTTCCGCTCGTCTGCGTAGTTTGTTTGCGAACCATGGCAATGTAATTCAGGTAGATTCAAAGTATCAGCGTAACAGAGGTAGCCGTATAAGATGTAATATGCACGCTATGGAAGCACCAGGGGACAGTGATTCT